TATTAGCAGGTATAGTGGGATGTGTACTAATTTATGACCTTGAATTTTGGTAGAGTTATCTCCACTTTTTTTTAATTAATAAAAAAAATCAATTTAAAATATTTTAGCTAGTAAAAAATTGTTTTCAATTGTCATTCTATTTCTAATGTTTCGATGCACATTCCACCGCAGGATTTATAGATATTCAAAGTATTTGAATTTTTATTTTAAAAAATGCTTTTCCCCATAGACTTCAATGCAAACTTTGTTAATTAACTACTGCTTAATTAATTAAATTTAATTAATTTTTGAAACTTTCTCACAGGCAATCCTTTTCCACTATAAAATGCTTTAATATAATACATGTATCAGAGTATTATGTACTTGACTGGAAATCCTTAATTAAGTTATGTATCTCAATGAAAGTATTATGAAAATACATTAAATTTGACATCCTTTTCTTTTGAAACTCTTTAAATTAGAATCAAACTTCAAACTTTATATGTTTTCCTTCTTTTATTCATAAGAGTTACATCCCTGGTAAAATGGATTAATATGTATTAAATATTTAGCAAAGACATAAATTATACAGTGTACTATGCATTTAGCAAAAATGAATGTTAGAAATAAAAATAATACTTGGTTTTATATTTGAACAGACCAATCCAATAATGATTCGAGTAGACACTAAAGCAGGACATGGTATGGGAAAACCCACAGCCAAAATTGTGAGTGAGATTATTTTTATTTCCAAAGATTTTTTTTTAGTGTCATAACAGGACCTGGTGATATTTTTTGATCTTACATTTTAGAAAAATGAAGGCAAATACCTAGTCAGATTATATGTTTACTTGTCTTTTTTGTTTTCATGGTATTATTTCATAATTAATGGTAATGTAAAGTTTTACTCTGCATTAACATTAATAACAAAACTCAGATTGAGACCTTTTTTGCTGCTATTTATAAAACATTCCATTACTTTCAGATAGAGGAGCTGACAGATATTTACAGTTTCATTATACAGACAGTAGGAGGCAGTTGGAGGGAATAACATCAGCCTTACTTTAGAAATTCAAATTGTGGTGGAACTAATGAACAATGCATAGAATGTTCCAGCAAAATTATAAAAGCATATAGACATGGAGTAAATAAAGCAAACAGAACATAATATTTTTAATTTAAAGTTATTTAAGATAAAAATAAAGAATAACACAATACATGTATTTTTCTGTGTTATCTGTGACCATATCACAAAAAAATATAACCATACATTCTATGTTGGTGACCTTTTTATACTTCACCTTTTTAGCAAGGATGGCAGTTGAAGACAGAATTGCCATTTGGTTAACTGCAAATCCTCCTGATTCATTAATCAGTTTATCATATCAAATTACATATTTTTAAACATATGAAGGTAAACTGTGTACACTAAAAGATTATATAAACAGATACAAAGAATTGTACACTTGTTTTTAATGACTTATTAATGACTTGTTTTTCTGATCTATCTTGTCCATGTGTTCTGTTTATCATGTAAAAATTAGATTTGAATTTATTTAAGGAAATAAAAGGTAAGACCAAGATTCTTGTTTTTTTAAACTGCATTTCACTTCAAGGTCAAGGTCATAAGATCACATATCATGATACAATCTGCTAGTTCTTGTAGCAAGTAATGCACGTGTGAACACAATGTGAAAGCCATGTCTTTTCTGGAGCAGAGCTAAAACTTATGGTATTAGTACATGTATGATGTAAGTACAGCTATTGTCAAATTTCTGAGGTCAAAATTAGTTCTTTTTGAAAGGATTCGTCAGATTAAGCATATGTTAAATATGAAAGACATATTTTTCTCATTCACAAGTGCATGGCACAATGGTTCATAGGCGTCAGAACCGGGGGGTGGGGGGTGGGGGGGGGGGGGGGAGGCTTGCACAATATAGGCATTGAACATCAGAGTGTAGGATTACCCCCCCCCCCTTTCAAAAGTTACCTGCAGTTTAGGTCAAAAAAGGGTAATTGGTGTTGTTTGGGGAAAAAAAATTGGTATCCCCCCCCCCCCCCCCCCGTCTTTAGTCAATGGATACATTTTTTTTTTTTGCTTGTCAGTTTCAGACCATATAGACTGAGGTCCCATGTTGCAGAAAGTGTTGGCAATTGGAAATGATCCTTCACTGCTCAATGGCCGTGAGTGCTGAGTATGGGGATTAATTTGGAGTCCTCTATTGTCAAGTGGTAGCATCTCCATGTGAACGAAAATTTCTCAAAAAAGCTCAAGTAAGCTTTTCTGATCACCTGTTGTCTGTCGTCCATCTGTCTGTAAACTTTTCAAATTTTCAACTTCTTCTCTGCAATTATGGCAGCTGGGCCGATTTTAACCACATTTGATATAAAGTATCAAAAATACATGTAGTAATTTTATATACCGTATAGGGCCAATCTCTAAATCTTAACAAAAAAGGAAAATGATATCAGATAACGAAATATAAGAATGATGGACTAGGAAATCATGTACATGTATTTTTAAAATTTATAAGGTTTTGTATTTAATAAAAATTCCCAGAAGCTGAGCGGCGGGGGGGGGGGGGGATTACACCATCCATTCGACATGCAGGTGCCTGTGGTTTTATCAGCTCAAAAACTTGGAAAAGTATCAGTGATTTCTTCCGTTGTTGAAGACAATTGCGAATTTGATTACAGACTGTCAGCATACATTTCTCTTCAAACTGTGTTTCGCAAAATTTAATGTAAAACTATATGTTTATCGCATTTTTGTGAATTCGGCGCTTTGAATGTCCGTAAACTATATTTTTACAAACCCTAAACTATAATTTACATGTACATATATGTTACGTATAGTTTAGAGCTGTAAACCACAGTTGACAAATCGTGAAACTATATTTATCAGATAAACTACATATTTAGCAGTCGCATATGATTGTTTTCTGTGTTAATTATAGTTTACGCTTGTAAAACATAGATTGTCGCATAAACTGTAGTTTACAGGTGTGCAATATAGATTAGTTTACAGTCGATTAATCTAGTTTATCAACTGTGAAACTTTGGTTAGCTCATTTTTGTGAGTTTGGCGTTCCATATATACTCCTCCATTCCTCCTACAGTTTTGGTCTGATATTGCAATATATAACTTAATTGTCACACAAGTAGAGTTTACTAATTAAGATATGCTATTCTGTTTATCAGTGTTTAATTCCGGTGAATGTTCATTTGATGCACCATTCAGGCACGTAGCATCGTTTTTGAAAGTGGGGGGGCCAACCAGAGAAAAATTTTTTTTTCCTTACCTGAAACAGTTGACAAGCAAAAAAAAAAAAACGAAACTTAAAAGTTGCCCAAACTCCAAAATCGTATTTCGTGGGGGGGGGGGGGGGGGGGGGGGGGGGGGGGGGGGGGGGGGTAGTGGACAACTTTTTCGAAGCCAACTTACTATTACTTCTAATTTTTTCCCTACAATCCTTGATATCACTATACCATGGTATGAAGTGGGGGGGCCAACCATCCTTTCAATGAACATTTACTATAGTAAAAGGTAATGTTGGGAAAAAAAGTGGGGGCCAGCCCCCCCCCCCCCCCCCGGTTGCTACATCCCTGCCATTGCTGAGGCTCCAAGAAATAGAAGATCATGTGATCGAAAACTTTCAAAATGATACTCCTTCTACAGTTGTTTAGATTTCAGAAGAACTTGGAACATTTGAAACATTTTTTATGATTTCGGTGAACAATCCTGCCATGGTCATGTGATAATTACCGAAATTAAAAATTTCTGTAAAATTCTTTTTAACTCCTGCTCATCCTACAATTTTATTTTGACACAAAAAGAGAATAAATCAAGGATCATTATTGTCCACCGCTTTGGCAAAAGCGAGGGGACATTAAATCTCATTCGTCTGTCCGTCTGTCTGTCAGTCTGTATAGTTCTGTCCATCCGTCAAAAAAAAAAAAAAAAAAAAAACTTGGTCATATCTTTTGAATGAGAAGAGATAGGGCTTTCATATTAGACCTGTTTATTGCTTGTGGCAAGACCTTTCTGAATACATTACGATTTTTTTTAATCTTGTGACATTGTCCTTGAAATTTGACTTAATTTTTAACAATGTTAATTTTTCCGCATATTTTTTGATTGAGAAGAAATAGGGATTTCATATTTGCTACTTTGCTCTTGCTTTGCTTCTTCTCAAACAATATCAACGGGGACTTCTTTGTTTGATTGATTTTTTTTTGTCTCTTTGGTTTTTTTTTTAACGTTTCTCTTTCTTTTCTTTTTTTTTTGCATTATGATCTAATATTGGGTCAATATGGGACCCACTTGGGTAAATAGGCAACGCAATAGCTGGCGCCACGCGCATGCGTTACCGGAAAAAGGAAAACATGTCTTCGAAGAGCACTTTCTCACAATTTTTCTCTCGGGACAAAGTGAGTAATATTTAATGGAATATGGATATTTAAAATAATTTTTTTAAACTATGTTAACTATTTTTCACTTTCGAAAAATAAGCAGTTCACTAGTACTTTGAAATAACTCTGAAAGTTTTGTGTAGTGGTTTGTTTACATTCAAGTTTTTAACTTTCACTTCATTCTATCTAGGCTTTCGTGACGAAAGTTATATCTTTGCTGTTTAATTATGATACGAGATTTTTTGTAAATAATTATCTAATAACTTTCCACTAGGCCTGCTCTTTGAATAATGGATATTAGAAAATAGAATAGTAAAATACACGTCAGTGACGCAGGTCGTACTTTTAATATGCTTATCGTTGTGATCTTGAGACATATATTCTATGATATAAGACCACTTAATGATTTATTTTCTCTGTTATGATTTGACTCTTTGACAGTGCAATCCATAATGTTTTGTGTCTTATCTTTGTACAGCTTTTACCAGTAGTGAATTCGTTTGTAGTTTAAATATGTCGTGGCCTTATTGGTTTGTAGTTTAAATATGTCGTGTCCTCAAGGCCACAATCAAAATATTCTTGGTTTTGATGTTGCCAACTCAGTCTTAATACTTTTGGGTTAGTTGCTGGCAAATTTTATTTTCCAGTTTCAGAAATGACACGTTAGTATCCGTGTGTCATAGGTTTCCGATTGTTTAACAACAACCGCAGTACGAATTTACTCCCAGTTTTGTCATTCATTTTTGAAACCCTTTTAGTTTTAAACCTTTAATATACATGGTATTCAAAATCACTGACATTAAATTGGCATAATGTCATTTTCATATGCACAAATCCAAGCATGGCCACTAGATTCATCAAGCAATTCAGACTAGACATTGTACCTTGAAATTTCGATTTCAAACTGATATATCTGATTTGTCAGTAAGCTTGTTGCCATTTTAAAACATGTTACCGCAGAGAGTTATGCCATCAAATAGTGTTTGTCATGTCCATCTTCCATCTGCATTCTTCTGTCTGTCCTTTGGTCACACTTTCATGTAGCAACATTTCTTCAGATAAAGTACATTACGTTACAATTTTTAAGACTATTGCCGGAAAGTGGAGAAATTCTCCTCAACAGTGTGCAGAAAATCATGTGCCATGATTTACATCTGCATTTTTGTCTTATCATGGTTATGGTATTAATATCATAATACATTAACACTTCAGTTACCGTATAAGTGGAAATCTTACCGAGACACAAATTTAGTGATTTGTCCTTAAAAACTAGTATTTTATTTTTAGCTTGATGTAATTTTAGCGATTTTAAATAGATCACTATAGAAGCTATTACAAATTAAGGGCGAAACGATTACACGTGTAAACGGCAACGTTTCGATTATATGCTCTAAACGTTTACAGATTGAGTAAACGTTTACACGGAGGTCACTATCGATGTCTATTAGAAATAAAGTTTAACACCATTAAATTGTTTTATTTCATAATTTACAAAAGAAACACCGTCTTTGACCATTTGATTAGCAATAATCTATGCCGGAAACATATTGAATAAAAATATCTAAAACCCAATAAAGTCTAAAATATTTAATTCCAATTTCCGAGTTGTGAATACTGGCGATGTTTTATGGCACTTGAAATATAAAACTTGATTTATTTTGATTAAATAAATATAATATATTGAAAAGTGTTCCGATACAGTCAGCAGGTTTGTTTGACTTTTTTTGAGATTAAAAATCCATCTTTACAATTCTTTTTCTACGTCCGGTATGTAGCCCAACAAACCAATGCAGTTGGGTGACGATGTAGATAGTGAATGAGTTTAATGCGCCTCAGATTTTTATGTCATAATGACCAACAATGAAATTGTAATAACAACTCATACTTATAATAAAGTGAAAGAATTGATGATTAAATTCGAGTTTCATAGTAAGTAGCCATAAAAATCCAACATAAATATCTCCCGTTTAAACGGTACCGTTTCGTTTACTGCTATCCGTTTAAACGTTTACAAAATTCAGTAAACGTTTCACCCTTATTACAAATACAGCACAATATTAAATTTTAGCGATATTCAATTTTAGCGATCTTGGCACCCTCGCTAATAATGCCAAAATTAACTCTTCGCTAAAAATTCTGCTTACACGGTATTTGTGTACTGACAAAATTGCTGGTATTAATAACATTATCCTTTATCCTTTTAGATTTTGACTGAAAATTTTTCCATGTGAACAGAAACACAACTAAATCCCAGTGTAATTTATATCCCTCAGTGAGACAATGCAGAAACATATGTTGACAGCTAGAGCAAGGGTTTATTATTTTGTGGATTTTTTTCCAGTACATGTAGTTTCTTTAAAATAAGAATTAATTTCAGAAGAAAAAAAAAGTAACTGTATGCTGGTGAAATATGGTTTGAATCTGAAAGCATAAAAGGATACTTTTTGAAATAACTTTCATGTTGGTATCTGTTTTTAAATTGACAATAAAACTAATGACTTCTAATTGCCATAGTGTAGCATTTATAATGAAGACTGGTTTTCAAGAATGAAAATTAAAGAATAGAAAAGAATTTGCAAATATTTCCTATCTGTTTTAAGTAACCAGATACTCTGTCAAAAAAATTACAACTAACTTGTACAAAACTGATCAGCTTATTATGGTATCCCTAATATGGTACTTTTATTATGTTTATAATGGTGATATCAGAAAACAAAAAAACTGACTCAGGCCTATATCTTCTATTCATTTTATCCACCAGGAAAAAAGTTTTTGAAAAAATACAAAATTTTTTAACCAATGTCTGATATCACTGGTACTATATAACTTTATAGTACTACATCCCATACATTCATTTCTTGAAACATGTTTATTCCTATACTATTGTATACGAAAGGAAGTGTGATAAAAAATCTACATTACTGTTTCCTGATCACTTGTGATTTCAGAGGGAAATTAAAGGATTAGTATGTCTGCACAACAGGCCTGACTCAAGAACTTCATTATGTATTGTATTGAGATATTTTATAATATAGGTCTAAATTGGAATTTTTCAATAATCTAGATAAACAGAAAACAACTGCATGATGATCAGTGCCTGGCAGGGTTAGAATTTCAGAGCAAATATTTAATCAATGAAATAGAGGAAAAAGATTTCAGTATCATAATAAACATTGTAGGAAGAAAATGTTTTTTTTTTGTTGTTGTTTTTTTTTTTTGTTTTGTTTTGTTTTTTGTTTGTTTGTTTGTTTTTTTTTTTTTTGGGGGGGGGGGGTTCAGTCAAATGAAACAGTTATTTTGATAAAGTTATTGCCCTTGACAATATTTATAATCATAAATCTTTTTTTCACAGTTAGACTCTAAATACATATTGTATTTCATCCCTCAGTTGCCAAACTGATGTCAGGTAAACAGATGAAGAGCACCAAGAAAATGATAATTTTTCTTTGTAAAACATCTTTTTTCTAAAATAATTGGAATGTTTCCAGAATGTGGTAATATTAAATGATAAAGGTATCGTTAGGAGTCATGTGCTACTAGTGGAAGTGGTTAGGTTAAAGTGAACGAGCCTCTTCCTGTGTGAGAGCTGGTGATAAAGGATGGGGACAGGCTATTCAGCTGAGGCTGTAGGTATTTTGTAAGTTTTGTTTTTGTTCTGATTTGAGGAAATGCATTAAGGAGATATGAAGGATCTCCACAGTTGTAATGTTCTTAGAGATAGCAAACTGCATGGTCATCATAGGGAAGTTCTAAATCTGAAGTATTCAATATGGAGAGATAATATGCAGTAGATAATTAAAGTATATAAAATACATATTACATGTACTGCATTGACCAGTGTGTGCACAGAATACTAGAACACTTTAAGAGTGTGTAATGTTATACATTTTACACAAGTCCAAGTTCCTGAGTAGTTGTGTGTCATTTGCATCAATTTTTGCAATTTTATTTCTGTACCAGTTGTTTACATGACCAGTAACAAAATGTTTGCTTCTGAATTCAATCTCCTTTTTTATTGTAATAGATTAAAATGAACCCTTCCTTTGTCATTATCTATATTTATAAAAACAGCAGGTTTTAGAAATCGTTCCTGGAATGCAGCTGTTTTTAGTTTTCACCAATGTTTCGACAGTTTTAACTGAGACAATGTTTTACATGCAGTGATGGTGTTCTGTAGGCAGTGTTCTGTCTGGTGTGTGTGGGGCTTTGTTTATTTTTCTGTTCTGTGGACAAACTGCTGAGGATAGTAGCATATGGCATTCATATGTGATTATAATTCTGAGTCATAAATTGTGTCTTAAGGACTGTGCACCATTATACACTATTTAAACATGTTCTTTGGACATTGACAAACACCAAAGTCCTAGGGGAAAAAAAAAAGAAAATTGAAGCACTGATAAACAAGCAGAAAATCACTATAATTATTATAAGCTTTACTCATTAAGAAAAATACATGCAAGTTAATAGTCCAAAAATAATAAAAGTGCTTGAATTGATTACAGATTGAGAATTAAATAGAAATGTTTGCTTTAAAGGACAAGATAGACTAAGACTACTTTTAGACCCCTGGTTTTGGAAGTCTTTTAGAATGATGTGAAAGATTATTCAGTTGTCTCCTCTGACACAAAATTGTCCTTGATTATGGGTTACACAGAGGTCACAGAAAAGTCAGAAAATATGTCAATTTCTGAATTTTCTCATTGTAATGCAATTTTTCATTGATTTTTTAACAGCGCATTTTGTTTCAGAAAACATAGAGCACAAGCTTGCCTATTTACCAAATTAATTTATTATACCTCTTCTCTTATTACTCTATATACATGTAACATACATTAATACGATAAAACTGTCTATTTTCCAAAGAAGAGACTATTTCCCTCGTCTGAGGACTACTCCCTGAAAAATCAGAGCTACTCCCTGGGACTACTCCCTCGTGAATATTTATTAGTAATTTTAACCTATCAAATAGTTCAGTGGGCAGAGCCTTCAAGGAGTCTCAAGTCTGTGACGTAATGTTATCAGCAATGTAACTATGATGTCAAAACATTTCGACATGCAGTGTCAAAATCATATTTGAATTCTAGCAAAATGAAGACAATGATAATTCTTCAAAATGTCAGTGAAAATTCTTTTTAAAAATAATTTTATTGTTCTAGGACACGATGCATTAGTTATCATACAGTCTTTTAAACTGCATGCATTTGTGATTATGTAATAGTTTCCTCCCTTGGGGAACCATAAATTTGCTGTTTCCCTTGTACCCATTCCATAACTGTATAATATTTCATAAACTAGTATCAGACACATCTTGGGTATGAAAATCTTGGATAAGCAAGCTTGTACTCTATGTTTCCCGAAGTCAAAAGTAGAGCAAATTTGATGAATCCCACAAGAATTGAGATAATTCATTAATATGTCTCAATTTTGCACCAATCTGTGGCCTCTGTGTAAGCTTTGAATCAAAATTAGTTCTGGTTTTAAAACAATCATTATTTTATAAGTTCTTAACTACAGCCTATCACTGTTTTAAGGTCATACGCAACGTAGTTTGAACTTTATTGGGTTCTTCCCTGGAGTTGAAGAGTTCCACTAAATGAAGGACCTGTGTGCAATACTTTTAATGTCTGTATATGGATTTGTACACCTCTTCTAAAACAAATTTTGATGAAAAACGTATCTGGAATTTATGTTTCATAATTTTTGTACATTTTTCTTTAAATAATGCAAGAATTTTCATAATTTGATATCTTTTCAAAACCCCTGGTAACACATGCTGATTTTCTGTCTATGAACATGAAATGGTTTTATTAGTTTAAATTTAGAATATCTTGAAAATTCATCAGTAGGTTAGGTACCTTGCGTATGTCCTTAACTGTTCAGATTTTTACATCATATTAGGGGCTATAATTGGCCCTTACCATACCTTGTCCTTTAAAAATCAAAGGACGGGTAACTTACAGCATAAAAATACCCCAGAATTAGAGTCTGTATTAACCTCTTAATGGATTGATTGGTTGTAATTTTGTTATCACCAAATTATTTCAGCCATGTTTCAGCTGTATCATAGGACTACATTGTATACGTCTTTCAATGTAGACCATCATGATCTCTTACTGTCAGAAAATTTTATATAATATTTACAAAAAAAATACATGTATATTGGTATGTGTTTCATATTTGTTATAAAATATCACTATATTCATTATGTTCATATGCTTATGTATTTTGTGATTACAGACATTCCGTCCCAAAAAAAGATTTGAACCAGGGACCATGAAGTTTAATTTACACAAACAGGCGAATGCTTCCCTGAACTCTGGGATTGACCTGAAGGAGGTAGTCAAGCTGCCCCCCGGGGAAGATATGAATGACTGGATCGCTGTTCACGGTCAGTACTGAAACCAACTTACATAATACATAGTGAATACATGGTTAACAGACAAATTAAAATCAAACTTTATGAAGTAAATACAAGAGATGAGAAACTCACACAAGGTATTTCATACAAATATCTTTCCTGCCGCCATATTAATGTATATAAATGTGATTATAAATCAAGTCATTGTATACAGTGCATGTGACTTCCCCTATAGCATAAAAAGGTCTATATTGCCCTGTTTATGAAACTCACAATACTTGTTTTCATTAGATAAGCATGAAAAGTGAAGTGTCATTGATGAAAGTCTACAGTTAAATGATTTTACTGACAGCAGTATACAGATCAGGGTAGCCTAGTGGTTGGATAACTCTATTCTATCTATTCCATATCACAAAGATTTAAGTCCAGCCTAAAAATATAAACATTTATTGTATATAGTGACTCTGCCTTCACTAAGTGGCCGGGAGGGGGGGGGGATGGCTGTCATTAGCATTGAAAGTCAGGAGTCAGTGTTTTGGATTAAATCTTAAAAATCTAGATTCTGATTCACAGTAGGTCTCTGCATGATAGAGAATTTTCTCTGTTCATTGCCCCTGCGTGCTTATAATTGTGAAGCCCTTCATGTGTATAATATATGGTGAATGATATGTCCCTATAGTAGTGAAAAATTCTCAATGGCACATAAAGCAACATATACGTCATTTATGGGTATTCCCCAGTAAATTGTAAACAATGTTAGCATTGTAATTAGCTGTTTATTTTTTTACTTACAGTTGTGGATTTCTTCAACAGAATAAACTTATTATATGGTACAGTGTGTGAATATTGCACAGAACAGACCTGCCCCACCATGAGTGGTGGACCAAAGTAAGTCAGGAGAGTTAGGTTCTGTTCATACACTGCATACAGTCACCCACGTAGTGACTGAAAGTTATAGAAAACTGTCAACTTCATAAAAGATAATTGGCAAGTTTGAAACTTTGTATCTTTGGGATGTTCAGTATAAAGAGCAAGAGCCACTTTGGGCCTTATTTGGCCCTGAGAATTTCTGAAAAATCAAAACCGCTCAGTTTAGGTTGCAAATGCAGTATTTATCACTTGGAGTGTTGGGGACCACATATCTATTAATTGAGACGTAATTTCCCATCTAGTCAATACATTATGACGTCATAAAATGAGTCATTTTCCTCATTTCCTGTAAATTCCTTTGAAAATGATCTAAAGTTGAAGCATTTTTTCAATATTTCATATAGAGCACAACCTCTGATCCAAAATATGCAAATACATAATGAAAGCTCTGTGTCTGAAGATCAGAAAACATATTTTATTTTTTGGATCGTGGGCTGTGCTCATATATTAATTCTTTGCTGAAGGTAGTCAAATATGCATGTTTTCTGCAAATTTCAAGAACACTGCAATTTCTCAAACCTGTTTTGCAATATGTGGATTCTCAAAACGAAATTTTATTATAGAAAATGAAATCACCAAGTGTCTACTTTATTTTGATATATGAACTGGGAAAGAGGGTGATAGTTAATTAATTGAAATAAGTACAGGGCCATTTTATGCATAAGATGGCTGTTGCTCTTTGTTATGTAATTATATTTCTATGTTTTAAGGTAATTATTAAAATGTTCAAGTTTCTCCATCTAATGATCAGAATAAATGTATTTAATACATTTTCAATAATGAAAAAAATTATCCATGAAATAAAACATATTTTTTGAAATAGATTTTTCACAGTGAAAATTTCAAGTGTGATGAAACTGTGGCTGTTCATGTTTCATGAAGAGTGCTATTAATAAAACATTTTCTTTTATAAGATAACTTAAGTAAATACTAGTAAACAGCTAAATCTCTTGATACAGTCCAATACTACCAAAGCTTTTCCTTTACAATTTCTATTTATATGCATGTTAACATTTTCATTTTTCAATCTTGTAATTGCTTGGCTATGATGTCACAGCCTGCAACAGAAAATACGAAATGACAAAGACAGAAGGAAAATTATTCTTTTAAATTCAAACTACATAACATTGAATATCCTGTATGTATATATTGGAAAAGAACAGAAGTAACTGATGTGTTTTAATTGTCATGCATTGTCATTTTTATATAGATATGAATACCATTGGTGTGATGGGCAGACATACAAGAAGCCTACAGCATTACCTGCCCCTAACTATATAGCATTACTGATGGAGTGGGTGGAGGCACAGATTAATGATGAAAATATATTCCCTGTCAAAGTGGGTTAGTATTATAGCAATTTAACAGTTTAGTAAAGTTTTAAAAGTGATTAAAAAAAAAATTATATTGGAATATTGGCTTTTAAAGCAGGGTTGGCAGTTGCTTACTGGTTAACAAATCTAAATTGGTTGGAAGGATGAATATTGATCAATGAATTTTCGAATAACATGGGCCACCATAAGGGAACCAAAGTTTTCCATTGAAATTGGAAATAAGACATTTTAATATATCTTTAAAAAAAATTCTTCTCAAGATATGGATAAACAGGGGGCATGATATTAATATGCAAGTATCCTCAGGTAGTGAAGATTCAAACTTTACTCAGAGACGTAGGGTTTGCCTTAAGAGTTTAGGATATTTTATATGGGAATATATAGGAGAAAATTTCAAAAAGACACTCACACATAAAATCATAATGTACAACAAACATTCCCTAATTCATTTGATACCCCCCCCCCCCCCCCCTCTTCAAATCATAGACTCAAAAGGAATGGGTCAAATTCAGGTATCAAACTCACAATGTGAGACAGAAAAACATTCTTCAGAAAGGGCAATGTTAGTTTTACTGATAATGATAAACGTCTTTAAATGTGATAAAGTTGGAGAGTTAGAGTGGGGCCAAAGTAGGGTAAAAAAGAACTGCAGATCCCCATTACTCCAATATGTGTGTTAAGGACTATTATGATGAGTGTCTTGTTTATTTCACCTGAATCTATAAATGCAAGATCTATCTGTCTGTCCATCTGTTCATTTTACACATCTTTAAATCGGGGGGGGGGGGGGGGGGGGGTATTAATCCCCTTTAATCTTTATTTATTCTATACCTGCATGCTGATGGGAAAATTGAGAAAAGTGTAATTTGTTAACCAGTTAGAAGTTGTGATCCCTACTTTTTTATCAGTTTAAAGTTAATTGCAGTATGGGCATAATTGTAAAGAATTATCAAGAAAATTGATGTTTAGCAATATATTTGTGAATTAGTTGTTGAATGAGTATGTATATCTATGCACTATAAAGAGAATGATTTGATGTCAAGTCTCTTGATTTAAAGGCACAGGTGAGCTTTTCTGATTGAAAAGTTAGGATGTCAGTCTGTCTATCTGTCATCAGAGGCCTGTTCAACAGAGCGAGCACTCGCAAACATTTCTATTGGAGGTATAATTTTGGTGAGCACTCATGAAAGTTCGCTCTGTTTAACAGGCCTCTGCTGATATGTTGTCTGTTATTTTCTCACAATTCATTTTCTTCTCCAAAACTAAAGAGCAAATTAAAATTAAACACAAAAATTGACACAAAGCATTCATGATATAAATTTCTTCAACAGAAGAGCCATGCCCTTTTATAGGGAGAGATAGTAAAGAAACAGGCCAGTGTCATTGAAAAATGTGGGGACACATAGGGAAATCTGTAAAAAAAAAAATCTTCTTCTCAGAAGCAATGACCATAGTTTACCATATTGATATGCAAGCATTACTTTATAGTGTAGATTCAAGTAATGACTCAGGAAGTAGAATGGGGCCAAAATAAATAAAAAAAAAAATACATCAGGCATAAATCTTTTATAAATCTTCCTTCAAGAATAGCGCAGGCAGTATTAGACAAATCAGTAAGGATGCCTGCTCGTCAAGACTACATTAATGTTTTAAATCATAGCTCAAAATCCATGAATTTGAGGCTGTCATCTTCCATCACCCATTGAGTTTAGGGTGAGTTTTAAAAAAAATCTAATACTGGGATTTTTAAACATTAAAATTCATACAATAATGCATATGTTAACTAAGATGTAAAATTATTTATGACTCAGGTGAGCATTGTGGTATATGAACCTCTTGTTGCATGTAGTCCCCTTAGATATAGACTTGTCACAGATAATAATTTGCTCTGTTATATGTTACTGTCCTTTAAAGTATATCTTGTCTGTAACAAGTCATAATGTATGTTAGAGTTACTGTTATATTTATTATAAATGACATTTTATTCACAAAAATTCATTTTTTGATGCTCTTATTGTAAAAGAAAAAAAAATGTTTCTAGTCAAAGTTAGAAGTAATTATCTATAAACACACAATGAAATTATGTACAATTACTGTACAGAAAATTTGCAAATTATGGGTCTTTGAAATACAGGTAGATATGACACTGCATCAGAAAATGAGGGAATAAAGTTGAAATTTAAATGATCAACAATATTCAATTAATATTTGAAAGATTACATTCATTTCAGTGTACCATTTTACCATACCATTTAAGTGTAAATACCCAAAGCATAAAGCTTAGAAGTTTATTACATTAAACATAAAAGAAATCATATTTATGTACTGTAGCTTTGTTATGCTCATAAAATGTGCTGAATCAATCAGTGAGTTTGTATCATTTATAATGAATATTATTACTGTTGTTTTTTATATGCAAAACATTTATAGCTACTGCAGTATTGAACCCCCTATATTTGTTAATTTTTTTAAAATTTTTTTTGAAAATGTTCCTTAGGATATCTTTCATGATGCATGTACAGGAGTTATTCACTCTCTCAACTATTTTGGTTGGAATTAAAATTAGTAAATAAGTGACTCTTTTATTTTATTAACGGTTACATTTTATGTACATGAATTCAAAAATTTAGTCTTCTTCAATATCTTTGGCAATATTCTGGAAGTGCCCTATTCATCTTGCTCTTTTTGTGAAATTTATACTCTGTGGCTAAACCATATTGACCTCAGAATCAGCAGTAATTGTACAACCGTTTATATACAAATCAAATTACATATTACACAATGTGATGCAGGTGTGCCATTTCCAAAACCATTTTTACCAACTGTAAAGAAAGTCTTGTCACGTCTGTTTCGAGTGTTTGTGCATGTGTACATCCACCATTTTGACAAGCTGGTGTCACTAGGAGCTGTGAGTAGATTTGCTGTTGCCAGCAACAGTGTAGTCATGGCAACCAATGAAGAGATGTCCACATGTCATTAGTCATTTGTTCTAATTAAAATGTTTATGTTTTAAAAACTACATGTGTAACACAGAAAACAATAAATACATACGTAATTTATCAGTAACAATATTGAAAGTTTTTATCTCGTGATTTAATTGGTGATCAAATGACCGATGCTTCTGGACATTTTTTTAGATGTGCTATGCAGCATTGTTAGCAGACAAGGAACGTCACAGAGTGCACTCTATTTCATTGCTGCTTTTAGTTAATCTGAGAACAGAGCTACAAATGATGTGGGGGTGTTTACCAGTAACTATATATATTTATTTTAATGTAATACATTTCCACATGATTTGTGCCCCCTTCTGTTCCCTGACACTCTTGCATGTGTGCATGAACAACCTTAACCTTTAACCTCATGTACAGCTACAGCACGTGTACTCTGCATCTAGTCTAGCTATAGTTTGTAGGACTCAGCTAGCTAGGAAGGCTTGGCTGCTGCTAGAGACAAATATGGAATAAATCAAAGATATTTTCAAATTTTTGTAGGTGTACCTTTCCCTAAAAACTATCAACAAATAGTCAAGAAGATTCTGACACGTCTCTTTAGGGTTTTTGTTCATGTATATATCCACCATTTTGACAAGTTGGTAGCCCTCAGTGCTGTAAGTATTGGAGTTAAGACAGATATCATTTTGATGTGGTTTATGTTATTTATTTTTTTCTGTATTTCTGTTAAGATTATGCAGGATTATATCATCATCACATATTATACATTAAATTTATTTTTTCTTGATATTGAAATGCCCTGCTTTCATTGGTTTATTTGTGAAATTTGAGTGCTGGCAATATTTCTTTGTCCATGCAGTAGGTACAAATTAACGTTTGAAGATATTGTTGGCACATAGCCTATTTAAATCAATATTGGAAATTGGTAATTAGAAACCACTTTCCATATTTTTTTTAATTGGAGTAACAATCCATTTAAGAATGACTGTGACAATGACATAAGATTGATTGTGCCTGGTACAGTACTCAGAAGTGATGATAACATTTAAATTTGTTCAAACAAGAGAAGGAAAATTTTATATTAAACCATAAAAAAAAGTAAATAAAGATGCCTCAAAGATATTTACGGTAATGATAAAATGCGAGTTTGACAATTTTTAAGAGTTTTACTCTGGTATGAAAAGTAAGTTTTTTGGGACACATCTTCTTTTGTCTACTATGTTCCTGGAGAAAATATATCATTTACATGTTGTTACTGACTGTATACAGAAATGTATCATGTTGATCAATCTTACTGAGATTGTGGGGCAAGCTTATAGCCATCTGTGAGATTATACTATATACAGAGATATTTTAGCCCTGTGTTATTTTGCTCTTTCACAGATGCAAACAATTGCCCTAGCTGTTTTAGATTCACCCAGTCAGAGTAATTACACAGTTTTTTTTCTTTCATCCTGTTTTGCCCAACTGTGAGCAGCGTGAAAGGGAGAATATTTCACTGCATTTGTATTATTTCTGTAGTGTTGATAAGTGATACTGTATGTACCATTGAAATAACTCATTTTCTGACTTTTTTTTTTTGGTTAAATCAACATCAGATTTATGTAATGTTATCATTAGTTATGTAGGTGTACTTATTTGGTAGCAGCATTTCACAGCAGTACTGATTTATTTCATTACTAAACTTGTGCTTTCTTTGTGCAATATATATACGAGGGTTGTCCCGTAAAATCGTGGACAAACCGTTTTTCTCGAAAAGTAATGGGCGCACTAAGCTGAAAATTTCAGTAAATGTTTATTTATCATATTTTAGTGCATGATAATTATTTTGATAAAATATAGGCAAAAATAAAGATTTTATTATGCTTGAATGTACACGGGGTATTGTCCTACGGCGCATGGACAAAAAACCAAGGTTTTATTAAAGAATACACAAGTTTGAATTCAAAATAAAGTTTTAAATACATAAGATTTGGATTAAAATTATCCTAATTCAATTCCACAGTCAATTTTGTAGTCTTTGTAAAAAATTGAGGGCATTTGGTTAATTTTTGGCAGTTTCTCGAGCATTCGAAATGGGAAAGTGGTAAACACAACACACGAAAAATGGCGACGTTTTATGACGTTACGGCGCACCGGAGAGCAGTTCCGTTTTAATTCGATGTTGTAATGACACCTTTAGAGACTTGAAATGACCGTAGAAGAAAAAAGATTATAAAAATATCACCATATCTTAAGTATACAAATGAAATAGGAGTTTTCTTAGCGAAGTTTTTTTGATCGAGTCCCTGGGGAGTACAAAAAATACAGACAAACTCCTAATGTAATAGCAAAAGACGCTGTCACAGTAGACCGCCGATATGAGATTTTCTATTAGTTGAATGATGGTGAGAATATTCTCCGTAACTTACTAATAAATCTTCAGAAGATCGCATGAGGATGCCAAGTGGTTCTTCCACTGTTTATGGAGATAAAAGAATGTGTATCAATGAAATTCCTAAATTTAAGTCGGACTCATCCAATTTCATTTTCAGCAAAAATAAAACGTGACGCTGTTTTAGACACTTTGACGTTGTAATCCATGCGCCGTAAGGTGATACAATACATGGCATAAAATCACATAATTTGTTTATTTATGCATATATTTATCTGAAATTTGCTGTGTATATTACTAAAATATGTACTAAATAATAGTGAAAATTTCAGAACGCAGTGATGTTTATTTTTTACACTAGACAACTTGTCCACGATTTTACGGGACAACCCTCGTATATAGGTAATGGTTGGTTAAGTTACTCATTTGCAGAATGTTAATATATTTGATCTTTTAATGTCCAGGCACTTGTAGAGTTAATGGTCATGATGTCATAAAACAGTTATAGAAACCAGGGTGGATTTTTTGGAGGATCACTAAGACTTAATCAAATAATTTACTTTTAAGTGTAAAACATCATTTATTAGGGTAGAAGATTTAATCCATTTCGTATATAACATTAGTTGCCTTTGTCACAATGAGATACGTCAAAAAGTATTACTCTGCTTGACGTTACTTTTAAAATATGCTCGATTTGAAGACCTTTTCTAGAGGAAAAATGGTCTCATTGTCTATTCTGAAATTAAATTATAAGGAATGGTGCTTATTTTTCAACTTATTTTATAGGATATAACATAACTTGGGGCAGTTTATGGTTTTTTTTTCTTATAAACAGCCACTAAACTGTGAAGTGGTTTATAAAGTGTAATGTGCCCCAAGTTATGTTATATCCTATATAAGAAGTTGAAATAAACTTCATTCCTTAAATGAATATTTATTTTTTTTTTAAATTCGTATCCACAACATAAAATCGGTTGTGACTATTTCATTCCACTATATATACCTACATTTTCCAACTTTTAATACACTACAGCTGATCTTGACTAAATTTTATAAAGCACTTCTAAATGATAAATTCCTTTGTTGCAGCTTTCGTGTTTCCCTTCTGACAAGATCACATTTTTACTATTTCGCAGACTTTGTATAAATTAAAATAACTACCGGTACTTGGTATTTACCTTTTGTTTGCATTATTACAAAGTCAAGCCAAATTAATTTACCCTAACTTTTTCAACATTCAAGCAGTAACACATGCATAGCTATATGAACCTTGAAGTATTATAAAGAGAGTGTCTTCAAAGAAAACACCTGGTTTCCAATATCTGTTTTATTATTCTATGGCCAGCAAAAGAAATATACAGTATATACATATATTTAATATATTGACAAGAATGTAGTTGAAGTTATACCAGGATAATATTTAGGTATAATACTATTAACAAGCTTTTGACCTCAAAAGGAAATTACTGATGGTTTTACAGTTAAATTTAATGTAACAAGGAAAAAATAATATGCCATAGATGTCTTTAGGTTTATTAAGACAACAGCTTCTAATCATATAATATATAAGTCAAAAATCAAGTTTGATACGATATAGTCGTAGGTATATTAAAGTAAAAAAAACACCTCAGGTTCAAACATACATTTAAACTATGACAAGCTACTAATAAATACTTTGATGTTACAGGGATTTCAAAAAAACATTTTACTGTTGTTGTTATGCAGCCCTGTTGTACTGACATTGTCAGTAAATCCAACCTATCAATCAGAATTTTGACCCACAAATTCTATATCAATTGTGAGGCCTTTGTTTTTATGCTTAATTTGACTACCAATTATTCCATCTACCTAATCAATACATGGGGCTTACTGCTAGTGTGACCAACTGACAGGGGATGCTTGCTCCTCAGAGACACCTGATTCCACCCCTGGAATTTCCAGGAGCCCTTGTATTCGGCCACTTCAGAGATATTGTTTTTAGGGTTTTATAGATTGATCACTGTTCACTATCTTCGCCTTATTTCAATTTTCAAAAAAAATCCACATATTAACAAGCTTTCCTTTCTGGTTTTTGATGCATGGATTAATTGTAAGTTTGCAACTTCTTTTTCTCTGTGTTAAATGGCTAAGATGCCTCAATGCATCCAATTTTACTGAAATTAGTGTCATTTTCTAGGCCTATATATAGATATGTCAAGTAATTGCATAGCCTTAAATAAAATCTTAAAAAGAAGTGGAAGTGAAAACTTCCTTCCAAAAAATGAGATATCCCCCCCCCCCCCCCCCCCAAAAAAAAAAATTTAAAAAAATCCATTAAATTTAAAAAAAAAAAGCCAAGTGAAATTTATTTAGTTTTTGTACTTTTAATACAATGTGCCTCCTAGGGCTTGATTTCTTTTTTCTTACCTCACCAGTACCCAAGCCTATTTACATGTAAGCTGTTTTCTGTCATTCAACCTGTCAGTCTGACCTGTCTTCTAAACTTTTCCAATTTTATGAGTCAAGTTTGTTTAATTTATGAGCTACAACTTCTTAAAAAGAAGATAATTAAGAAAAAAAGTGATTATTTGATGGGATCATTAAAAAGTTTTCTCAAGAACCAGTGGAATGATGTATCAAAATTGTTAATCAATGTATATCATTTTTTATTTGCAAGAACTCTTTTTGGGGGGTGTAATTATGCAAGTCTGTGTGGTCCCCAAAAAATTAATTGTAGCCTATATTTGTATTGATAAGGATCATATAAAACAAAACCATAGCTTGGGAAAATTTTGCCTCACTTATAATACCAAATAGCTATCTCATGAAAACAAATTAGTGTTGTGAAAATATAGTGTCAGATCTACAGTAATTTAGAAAAGACAAGTAGTAACTTCATTTTTGTACATGTTCAGATTCTTGTGTCCCATAGAATTTTTGTTTTTTCTCATAGCTTAATGCCAATGTTATATGTATAACTCTTCATTTTTCAGGAAGCACATGTGAACACATGTTACAAACACTTCTATTACTTTGTAACAGAGTATAACCTTGTTGACAAAAAAGAATTAGAACCTTTGGTAAGTTTTATTTGTTTTCATAAGGTTTAGTGAAAAAATACCATCTACATTTATAGAAATAATTCTCAGTAAATAATCCTGATGCTCGGAGTAGGACATAACTCCTTCACATTTAGAAAGCCTAATTTGTTTTCTTATTTTATTTAGAGAGATATGACAGCCAAGATTTGCCACTGACCAAACGGAAGGATAAAGCAGATGCAGTTTCATAGTGCAGAATATTGAACAGTGCATAAGTTTACAAAAATTGTAAAAAGTTCACAACACATTTGAAATTTCCAGTCTTTAAATACCTTCTCCTCAGGGAGGGTGGGTGAAATTAAAATTGTCCATATATGCATTTTTATTTATATTATTTTTGTTGAAAATTTCAGAGAAAATATTGATTTTCCCATTGTGTAAACAGAAGTGAAATAATAATGACAAAAACAATATTCCTGAACATTATGTTTCTTTAACCAGGATGCAGACAAGTGTTTGTTTTGGGGGTTTTAATTATGAAGGATTGTTTTTGTGTAGTTGATTTTAATGGTTTTTAAAAATATTTTTGTACAAGTTTTAACATTCTTTTTTTATTCATTATTGCATCATTCATCACCTATTTTCTGAAGATTTTTTGATTACTGAATCAGAGGCTCAAGTGAGCAATTTTGATTGGTGATTGTCCAGCGTCTATACCAGTTTGTCTTCATGATGTATATATGTGTATGTCACACATTCTGCATTTCTCTCACCTTTTCAAGAGCCAGAGATGGCCAGTTCCAACTCTGTTTTGATCAAGTAAAGGGGTTTTGAGCTAGTACCTGTATGAAAGTCACAGTGGGGAATCAAAAATGAAAATATGTAGAAATCTTTATCATCTTCTCAAGTACAATAGGGCTGCGATTGCAATGATATGCTTAAATTTGGAATGACAATGCAACATTTAGGCTATGTACAAATTTATTTGTCAAGAAAAGAGTTTTGACTTGGTGAGCTTTGTGGCCCATGGACGTCATATTGTACCCTTGCCAACCTCAGAGATTGTTATTTATATGTTAAAAAATATTATAATTTAGAAGTAAGATTTAGTATCATTACATTTAAAATTTAGTCTAATATTAGAATAAACTATAGCAAAAATATTATAATTTATTTGCATGTGTCAATTATTTTTGTTCTGTTTATTTCTGGAGTGGCTTGGTTATTCTCTCTCTGAAAATGAAAATAAGAAGAAGATGTAATGAATTTTGAAAATGGAATGATGTCTTTATAATGAACTTGTCAAGAAATACCAGGCCAGATTTTACAAGATTAAAATGAAAGTCTCTTTATGTTATGAAGATCCAAGTAATATGAAAACCTGTTTAACGAAGATTTGGTTCACATCATGATCCATAGAACAAAGAGCAGGCCAGAAAGAGGGTCCGAAGTTTATACAGAAAATATTCTTCAAATTTTTGTCTCAGGTGCTAGGGTTATTCATTTACCAAAAGAACATGAAAGTATCCTCATATTGTACCAGTTAAGTTCATTCAAATTGTAGTTCCGTAGTTCCAGGAATTGGTATAAAGTCACAAAAAATGTTCAGATTGGGAATATATGTACCGGTAGTAAATCAGAAAGATGTTTACAGGTACATGTATGTTCATTTATAAATGAAAATTATATTGTAAAACTCTAAAAACATAATGGATGCAAGAATAGAAAATACAGAAAGCCAAAATTCATAATGGAAGTAAAAAAAAAATGATGAGAAATACCTATTTTGAAGTCAATGTTATATATTATACAATATGGGATATTCTGTACATTGTACAAATCAGGAATGTCATTCTTGTATGTGTGCACTTGTATTGTGTTGCTTATGTTCTCAGTAGTTAAAAGATATGTAGTTCTCTAGTCATTAAACCAGATACATTTAATGCATTTATTTATACCATATTTTTAGAAAATGATGAATATAGTCATATATATTAAAAGCATTAATATCTTGAACCAATTGTCAATGAAATATGCTGGCCAGATTGTGGAATATACTTTTTTCATTAAATTTTGAGGAATGTTTAGGGGAATGTATATATTATTTACTGCAAAAGTGAATTTTCTTTTAAGTGTCAGAATGAAAGAAAGAGTGGTCTGGTATCATCTCTTTGCATCACTTCTCAATATGTCTCAAATAAAATCGTTTTCTTTAAAAGTATTCTGTCATTCATTCAAGATTGATTTCTAAACTCAGATGACCTTTTGCTACATGTATCTGTTTTCGTCTGTCATCCGTCGTACGGAAACGTTTGAACATTTTTAGCTTCTTCTCTGGAACCACAACCAATTTAAACTAAAGGAGGATAAGCCTATAGTGCAACAAACATGAAGGTGAAAAATTAAATCTCATTTTTTAAATTCACACATATCACTATTTTTCAATAGGAGTGGGTCTTCGCTCCATATTCCATATTCTCAAAGTAGTCATACAAATATACATATTTTGGTTTCCAAAATTATGGAGCAATGACACACTATACCTTAACAAGAATAGATATGGGTTACCCCATATCCAAAGATATTCGACTGTTAGATTTAATATGTTTAACAGTGTTTATAATGACGTTAATAAAAAAAAAACTGCACTGTCTAATTATGGAACTGTTGTAAATATCGTGATTCCATAGCATTACGGTCACCCAGTCTCCTAACAAACAGTACACATAGGCCTACATGTACCTGTATCCTTGGTCTACACACGTGCAATGTAGCTGTCACACGCATCCAGCGAGCTCGGAGAAACACATTTTGTTTTGCCGAGAAGTTACGGTGTCAGACAAAACTTTTCTTTTCTTAATTAGATCATATAAATACGAATTCTGATTAATAAAAATTATACAATCCCTGTTGAACTTTATATAGTTTGTTCTAACATTTGCATCTGCAACAACTTGTGTTTAAAATGGCCGGGTTGGGAAAATCAGGACCGGGTCGGAAAATTCTAAACTGAAAACATGGAAAACCTTTTTTGTTTTGAAAATAACTGAAATATACTAATATATTTGTCGCAGAAATTACTTACATTATTCAAGTTCTATATATAATGGTATGCTGAACTTCAACACAACCCGAATCTCCAACCCATGCAGTTCTCGTTTTGCCACACATACCCTACAGTTTACAAAGTGTACACACGAGCAGGCCAGGGATTGAAAATTCCGTCATTTAATAATACACACACACAGAATGATTAATTTTTTCTTTAAGAACAAATTGTATGATAATTAACGGACTATAAACATGTACTTAATACAATTGTTGATATAGTATTATCAATTCGTTGGTGAAAAGATATGAATCGAAGAATGACCTAATTATTCTCTGTTATCAAACACGTAAAAAAAAAAGGCTGAGGAGGGAGCGAGCGTAGGAATATTGATATTTTTTACTTGCATTTCGGGGGGAAAGTGACTTTCTAATGATATTTTGACGTTACTTTTGATTTCTTTAACGTATGACATACACAACTTTACTCTTATCATGAACAATAATGTTGTATCTACTTATCATGATGGAATTATTTTGGTCGGAAATATGTGTGACACAGTTATATATCTTGCAAAGATAGTATGCATTGATCGAATATATAGAAAATATAATTTTATGACATAACTTTCCTATCTTTAATACTTGAAAGTCCACTAATACCCCATTCATACGACGAAAAATTGCTTATGTGTGTATTTATTTTTGTGTAAATTTACACACATAAGTAAAAGTTAATTTGCTATGCGTTCAGACGAGATTTATGTACCATGAGTAAATCCTTTAATAGGAGATGGATTGATTCATAATATATAGTGCATTTTCATAGAAAAAAAGGTATCTTTTTACTTTTACTTTTTGGGTATAGGACCAACTTTTTCATGTTCCTTAAAGACATTTATTAAAACAAAATTAAGCAATTACAGGTTTAAAAATGTAATTACAATTTTATATAACTGAATTTTTAACCGATTTTGCAACTGATAGGTAGGTTGACGTCATTATAGTGCGTTTTTGACGTTATGATAAACTGAAGCTCTTAAAGAAGGGGTAATAAAAATGTTATTAAATAAAAAAGTAATGAACATACGCTCTTGAAATTTACTTCATAAGAATTTGATAATCTCTTCATCATATTTTAATATGTTGACGGTGCGACCGTTAGGGCGAGCGCAGATACTTATCCAGTTTCTTCATTTAGATCGGACTCGTCAAACCGCACGTGACATTTGGTGCGTATAAGACTCTGAAGTCATATGACGTCGTTTGCATGTTGCTTTACCAAACCGAAGTCTGAACAGGGCTGATTTCAATCAGTTTATGATTATTTTTCTGCAATTAACAGATAAATTCATTAAATCAAGGTAAGTTTATTTTTCTTTTAACTTTTGTCATTATTCTCGCGAGAACGTGGCTTTAGCGTTAGTGTACGAAGCGATGCATTGTGGGTCAAAATTACTGCGGCAAAAAATTTTATGGAATGAATGTGCAGTAGTCCGAATTTTCTCTTCGCCCAGGCGTTGTCGTTAGAGCTCGCAATTACGAGCGTCGCTTCGCGACGCTCGCTGCGCTCGCTATATTATTTCTTGTATAAATCCTATGCATGCGTCATATTTTGTAGCACTCTATAAAAAACAGGAAAATTCGTAAATTTTTGGCCTTTTGAGATGCCCCCCCCCCCTCTGGTAACAAGACGGTAGAATTTTGTGTTTCTTATACATAATATACAAGATAGTATTACTCATCATATATTATAGTTTGAACAAAAACGCTATTGTAGTATTTGTATAATTTGCTTTAGAGTGCTTAAAATTGGCACTTTCCTATATAATCCTATAGTATATGTGCCTGTATTTTGAGATGGTCCCTTAGAAATAGTTGGACGGTAGATTTCGCCCAAACTTTGCATGTACACTAAAGTTAATGTCAGTTACATATGCTATAAAAATGAAGAGTTTCGCTCTTGTAGTTTTTACGCAATAAAACCATAGTCGGCCCCCTTAAATACCACTCTCATCAGAACTTGTGTAGCATAGTGGTTAGCGTGCTAGTCACAATAGAGAATGCTACTCAGGATTTTTATTGCTAGGATTCGAACCCAATGGATACAACATTTTTTTTGGGGGGGGGGGTAAAAGAATAAATTTTAACGAAAAGTTTCCCTAAGAAATTTTTGTTTATTATGAATTCATAAAAATCAATAATGAGAACTTGACTCTAATTTGAATATGACTTTTATATCTGAAGCTAGTGGGCTTTCTGCACACTAAGTTCGCCCATCTCCTTTGGTATATCTGTGGGTGAAGGGGGATCAAAATTGTGAATTTCATGGTCCCTGCCCCCATAGGGTCTGTGAGTCCAAAATCACTAAAATTAATGCAATCGTTAAAAATCGTCTTCTTTACTCCTGGACATCTTGCAGTCAAACTAACTTAAGGTAGGATTCTTCTCTGGTTTCTGAGTAGATGAAACATTCAATGTATATTTGCTTATATGTCTTATATATTTAGATGTAAGGGATTTAAAAGACCATATTTTTCTTTCCTCATCACAATTGTACAACTTAAAATAGAAATGGTAAACTGCGTTTGAAAACTAGCAAGGACTATATTTTTGGCGGAATGATGGCGTACGAAAATATTTGCTTTTCTGCCTCTCAAAATTATAACAGAGCAATGAATTTAGTTATAAATTTTATACAATCAAAGACTTGAAGAAATTTTCAAATGTAAGTTAAATTAATAATAAGGGACTAAACTTTCAAAATATATAAAATAAATATGATTTTTCAAACAAACTAGAATTATGTTAGCTTTTAAACGTTTCCAATCAAAGTACAGATTTGAGCCAAAAATCCGTAAAAAGTATTATTTCTCTCTTAGTAAACGATCAAAACTTTTTGTTTTCGTATCATTTTGTACATTTATAAGACTACTTTATTATATGTGAAAATAAGAAAAAGTTAAATATAGGAAGCATATGAAAATAACTAAGATATCCTAAAAAATTAAGAAAAAACAGAGAAAATTCGGATTAGCCAATATCCAGTTTAGTTTAATTATTTATAAAAATTTTGGTAATATCATGTTATAGACTTGATATAGTAATATCTTTTCAGGCAAAAAGAACAATCTTTAAACTTTTGAAATAGAAGTAGGCATCACATGATTTGCAACACTAATTTTTAATCTAAATGTTAAGGAAAAAGAAAATGACCTTGACCTGACCTTGGCTCTCATATAAAGTGGTCAAATTTAATTTCACTGATACTATCACTTACTGATATTGTCTTTTTGATTCTGTGAAAATTTCATTAATTTTTAAATACAAGAAATATGAGAAGAATCCTACCTTAATATATAGTTATAATAAGCAAGAGTGCCTCAACCAGACTTGTGTATTTCATGGCCCTTGGGTCAGGGGTTCTGGTGTAAGGTGGAGGGAGGCTCGATTGATTATATAGTGAAATTACATTAATTCTTTAAAAATCTTCTTCTTTTCTCCTGGGTATTAAACAAACTAACTAAGTATATAGTTATGATGAGCAAAAGTGCTTCTTACAAAATTGTGAATTTTGTGGCCTCTGGGTTGGGGCTTGTGGTGTTAGGGCGGGGCTCTATTGATAATAAAGTGAAAATACATTGATTCTTTAAAAATCTTCTTCTCTGCTCCTGCGTATTAAACCAATGAACTATATACATAGTTATGATGAGGAAGGATGCCTCTTCCAAATTTGTGAATTTCATGGCCCTGGGTCAGGGGTTCTGGTGTTAGGGCGGGGCTCTAATCTTATATAGAGTAGTGAATATAATAGTGAAAATGCATGAATTCTTTAAAGATCTTTTCCATATCTCCTGGGTATTATGCCAGTGATCTTAGTTAGTATTATATTTATTATGAAGAAAGGTGCATCTAGCAAAATGGTTAATTTTATGCCCCCTGGGTCACGGGTATCGGGGGGGGGGGGGTTCATAGGTCTGAAAATAAATTAATGCTTTGAAACCTTTGGTATTAATCAATGAAAATTTATTTTACATGTAGAGATCGGGGCTTATAGGCCATATATTATATTTCTTATGTCAACAGCTTCCTATAATTACCAACAAACTTGACCTTGGAGTTTGACTTGCATTTGAAAAAAGTCAATCCTCAGTTAAGGGGGCACCAGTG